AGTTAGTAAAGTATAAATTCAAGCCTAATCTACTTAATAATAGCTTTCTGGGCCCCTTCAAATTAATAGTAGAGGAGGGACCATACCTTTTTAAAGTCTAATCTAGATGAGGAGTAGATTATATACTACTATAAATAAAAGAGGCCAGCTCTAGTATTAGTAATCCTCATAGAAATTAGACCCAGCCTAGCCTACGTTCTAGTAGCCGTTCTAACTTTACTATATATACGGCGCAACCGCTTAATATTATCTTCGTTTTCTTAATTGCGTACCTCGCTTTGTTAATTAGATTCGTTAGAATTACTATTGCGTAAGTCCCTATTATTAGATTCTTTTTCGTCGCTGCCCTAGGCCTCGCTGCCTCTGGCTATAGTAATTTAGTTATCTTTAAAGTATTAGTAATCATCTTAGCTAGCGGTATATAGAACACAGGATACCGTCTCGCTACAATCACAAGACAGTTCCTTACTACAAACCGTCGCACAACAGTCAATTACATTATTTAAGGAAAGAACGGTTCTCACTAGCGCTACGGTTGCGTAACATACAACGGTTGGTTCTTGGAAGCGCAAATAAACTATTCAAAGGCGGTAGCTGCGAGTCAAATCAGATTACGACTATAACAAACCGCAAGCGCTATCCTACGCTCCTACTTTCATATAACAATTAAGTCACGGTCATAGTACAATACAATATAGTTACAAAGAATTAATTAAATACAATAATATAGGTAATAAAAATAAAAACACAAAGGAAATACTTAAATAAATATATTAATTAAGCTCGCTAGGATACGGAACGATATTACTCCTCTGATTTCAATTATATTCAACCGCCAATTATTAGGATACGGGATGTTATTCAAAATATCGCTCCTCCGACTTTAATTACTATTAAACTTGTTAGGACACGGGATGTCGTCGCTCCTCCGACTTGAACATAAACGGCACGATTAGCTAAGGCTGACTCTAATACTAGATGCGATAATCCTAGATTCTGTAATATCGACAACCATATTGTTGAATCATCGTATATTACTACATACTACAATATTACTATAAATTATCGCAATATATACTAGTAGACAATATTCTATTAAACATCAATATCTATAAATACTAGTATTTTGAGAAAGTAATACTAAAAGCGCTCAAGACAAATAGAGGGAACTTATACCCTTTTTAAGAGTAGTTGAGTCGATAGTGGCCGACTGTAATACCGCCGACGAAGGGGAGGTGGCGGTAGGAGCAGGCATACGGGTACGCCTGGGATTCGGGGGGGTGATATCGGCATTATTAATGCCGGGCTAGGGCTGGCTACATTGGTGATCCGAGGACGAAGTAGTGTTATAGGACTTACTGCAACGGCCGCGATTGCAATAACGATAACGATTAGGGAGATTATTATCTTTATTATTATTATTACTATATCCCTTCTAAGAAATTGGAAACTAACGCTCTAAGGTAGTACCCGTACAATTACCAGTACTAGTACCACCACTATAGCAATAATAGAATATAGGGGTTAGTTCGCTACGTTCCTAGCGACTATTACCCTTATGGCGCTTATTGCTAGGACGGTTATACGGATTATAACGAGGGCTATTATATATAGAGCTAAATCCAAGCCCAAAAATATATTAAAATCCAATACCAGCGCCACCAAGTATACTACCAGGACCATAAACAGGACTATAAATAGGACCAGGATTAAAACTAGGACCAGCGGGGCTAGCGGGACTACTAGTTTGGATAGTATATTAGGCAATATATATTAGTATTACTAACCATTTGACTACCATTGTATTAAGGTCGCAAAGTATTCTACGTCGCAGCGGGCATGGGATAGTAGTAGACCGTTCTAGAATTTCTATATTAATACTGCTTCTGGCTTGCTGTATAATAATTAATTCGAGCGGGATCTCTATAATTAAATTACGGTCGCACTCAATAAAATTGTTATAGAAAATAAAATTGTTAAATATATCTAAATAATCGTTTCGTATATTCTAATCCTTTTACTTAACCAAACTAATTCCCGGTCTACAGCCAACGTTCAACCTAGCTTCGGACTAGATTATATAATAAACTATTATACTTAATTTAATAATTATACTATATAAGAAGTAGTATAGAATATACTCTTTATTATTGAAAGTAGTTTGGTAGTCGATATAAGGTACGATATAGGAAAAGATATCCTCGAAATAATGAGTTGTAATTTAGGGCTCTACTAATTCGGTAAATATCGCTTTATCCTCTTTATCGTCGTAGTCGAACTCTAGAAGTTTAGGGTGATTTTTAATTCTTGTAAGGAAGAAGGTATAGAACTTTACCTATAAGAATCGATTCTTTTGGGTCTTATAAATATTTTTAATATAAGTACGAAGCTATTAGAATCTTAGCGAGCGGGTATCGACATTAGGGGCAGCCCGCTTAACAACCCAACCAGCGAACCAATTCGAATGGTATACGAATATATACTAACATATTTATTAATAGATCTTATTAACGACTATAGCCGTTTCTTCCTTAGGTACAGAAATTATAACGTTATTTATTTTGATATTATTATTATTGAACTCTATACGTAACGGTGCGCTAATTTCCCTTATGGTATAAAGGTTCTCTCGGGTTGGTTCGAAGAAATAGTTGGGGTATCTATTTTTAAGGGGCTCCTCCTCTTTATTAATTGTATTTCTGTCCTATATAGAGGATCTACTGGTAGATCCTCTACCTTTGGACTGGCGACTACGACTACCGCGACCTTTTGGAATTTCTAGTTCGGGTTGTTATTATTGTTGTTGGGGACTAGTATTATAATTATATTCATTGCCGTAGCTAGGATTGTAACCTTAGCTATAGCTATAACTGTATCCGGGAGGAGGGCCGTAGCCGCGACTATAGCCGGGAGGAGGAGGGCTATAGCCGGGAGGAGGACGGTTATAGCTACGACCGTAGCCGAGAGGAGTATACTCTTAGTTATACTCTTAATTATAATTGGGCTGGAAGTTGCGATATTGGGGTATAGTACCGCTAGACTACAATAATTATATATTGCTAAAATTGCCTGGTGGAAAAGCAGTTTCAAATAAGAAGCCCGAGTTAGTACTACCGAGTGTAGATAATTCGTAGCCATAAGTACTAGAACTAATAGTACGAGAGCTAGCACTAGGGCTAGCAATACGAGAACCAATCGTACTAGAACCGCAAGCACGGGAGCCAGCACCGGGAGTTCCTTAGTTATTACTAGGTGTATTAGAGGGACTATAGCCAGGTATAGATGGACTAAGGGGCTGAGGAAATTGAGGAGGGTTATTGCACTTTATTGACCGTTCTATGGTACGTTTATTGATATTTTCAAATACTGGTTAGAGTTGCGAGTCATAAAGAATTTCAATTGACGGTATACTCTGGTCGCTTCGTATAGGGTCATTCACGGGGGGTTCCGGTAATACTTAGTTTAATTGTAGTACTAGGGAGGGGATTGGCTGGGGAAAGTACTGGCCTTGCTAGCCTATAGGGAATAAACCCCGGCCAGATCCGTATAATAGAAATAGCTAATATTCAGTTTCCTAGGAAGAAAACTAACTAGGAGGTAAGTACTAGGGAAATTTACGGCCGGATCTTTGAGAAAATTGGTCTTAATAATATTAATTATATTATTAATTCTGACAGCCATGTAATATTACGTTGATTTTAGGAATAGGACCCTAACCTTAACCCTAACCTTAACCCTTATTACGAATTGGAATTTATAAGTTCTTAACTAAAACATCTATTAATATAATTATAATTGATTACATATACCAACTAAACCGCTGCTTCCGGTTATCTTACTTATACAGTAAAGTAATATTACGCTATAGAAATATTAGACAATATCTAAATAAGATTAAAATACTGGATGTAACAGACTTATTTAACCGCGGCCTTTATAGCGGGGAGGAGGTACAAGGCTACTAGCGGATCGCTTTTTCAATACAATATCATCGTCCTTATTATTTTCGTCCTCTTCTTCAGACTCCTCTAACGACGAAGATTCTTCAATATTAGATTTATCATCATCGTGGGCCAAAAACGATACCTTTTTAATTAGGCCCTTCTTACCTATACCTGTTTTACCCGCGCCTTTACCCCTATAACGGCTATAGGAAGAATTAGGAGGAGCCGCGCCCTACCTATCCTTGGGAGCTATATTCTATTAAAATATTAATAAAATATAGTAATAATAATAATAGGTATTAGTCAATTTACAGCGAGCGCAATTTGAAACGAACCTTAGATCGGCGGTTTAATTAGCTAGTAATAGGATTGCGCGATAACGAGTATGTAACTAGTATTATTATTAGTATTATTATTATTATTATTATTATTATTATATAATTTAATGAGGTTATAAGATGGGAGGGGAGAGTTTAAAAAATTGGAGGGGGAGAGTTAGCAGAAATATATATACAATATATACAATTCTACTACCTTCTATTCTACCGCCTTCTATTCTATGGTATACTATATAGTAAATATATTTCATATTGCAAATAAGAATTTGGATGAAATCGCGGGGTATCGTAATAGTTAGCGCTGGTTAATATGTGAAAGTTGTAGTAAATAGTGAAGGGTGAAGATTAAAATTAGAGTTTGGGAGCAATATTGTAAGTCTAGTACAGTTCGGAGGACCTAGAACTTAAGGATGCAGGGGTTCCAGCCAATCAAATATTTATCCTACTACAATAGTACTTTAGTATATTGTACTTTATTTATACCTAAATGTAGTGAATGAAATCTAATAAAGTGAATAGGAATCCAACAAACGGTTGATTAGGAGATATAACGTATAATATTATTATTTGAAATTCGGGATTCCGTCGTGGTCGATTTTATATATGATTATTAATATTACCGATATTAAATCATTTATTTATCCAAATCTACCGCGTCCTTCCAACACTGCAATCTTACAAGTTCAACACTTCCTTACTAGAAAGGGTATTATTCACAATGCCCGGCCTACGCGCTCCTAGGACTATACCTTGTATGGAACTAGTGCACTTGGGCAAACAACTATTTTGCGTTAGGCGTGGTAGTTGCGGTGTACTTCGATAATAGCCAGCTGATTCTAACCGACAATAACTTAAACAGCAACAACAATAGCAACGGTATAAATCACCAAGTACTAGATATGCCCCGCTTCTTGATGGCGACAACTATACGGTTATATCGGATCCAGCTATTAGGATTATGAATAACGATAACAATAACAACGATTGGGAAGATGTGAACGACGACGACGACGACGATAACGGTAAGGAGAATCTAAGGTATAATATAAGTTCATTATAACTAACTTATTATAAGTGCCATTGATTAGGACGTATTACTTCGAAGTAGATTCTAAGCCTTAATAATCGATAGTAGAGATTATAATGATATTTTACCGGTTGGTTTCAATGAAGAACAACTTCGCCTCGATTTGGAATATACTAAGCGAGATTTCGACAACGAGCCAGAAACCGTTGCATTTGACGAGGATTTTATCGACGAAGATATTTACAACGAATTCTATATTAGTAACTGAATAGATAAATAAAAACCAATTCAATTAGCTGAACCTATCGAAGGTATTACCGACAAATCTACTCTTATACACTATCACTGCCATTAATACTTGGAATTACTAGATTTCAATTTCCTATTTGGTATTTATACCTATTTCAAGTATATAACTTAGACCGAATACTGTATATAGTTCGAAATGCTAGGTACACTACGTGGGGAAGATGGCAAACTAGTGCTAGCGATACAATAATTGCCCTGATAGTTGAAAACCTTGAAACGCTATGTGGAAAGTCGAATGCCGTTACTAGATATAAGGGAAGCCAGTATTCCTCTGTAAGTTGAAAAAATAAAGACTGAATCGGCTACGCGAAAAAGACAATAATAGTAGCAGTAGTAGTAGCAGTAGTAATAGTAAGTGGGCTCAAATGACGAGGAGGATCCAAACACTGTTATGGAATCGTTATTCTTTATAGACCCCTATATATTATTTTAAGCCTTCTTGAATTCGGATATAGCTACAACTATATATAAGGGTATAGTATATTTCGTAAATAATCCAATAGAGCTTTATTATTCTCTATATTGGTTAAGTTCGGTTCGTACAACCTTTGGCGAATATATGTATTTCATTAGCGATAATCGAATTGTTTTAAACTCCGAAGATACTGGAAAGGCTATCTTTCCTTCGGATTTTATTTACTTTGGATATCTTAATGATATTAAGGATTTGGACTATCCTTACCGCCTTCCTGAAGACTATAAAGACTATATTCTACACATTGGCCGTATTAGATCCGTCGAAAGAAACTATACTAGTAAATATGCCGAATATTTTGGCGAAATTATTCTAGTAGTTAACGAGTGCCTTTCTATGGACGAAATAGAAGACGGAGTTTCCGGGTTTTGCATTTAGCGTCCAGGTCTACGATGGTATAAAGTTTAGAAAAAACAAACTAATCATTCGTCTCGAGTAAGAGTATTAGATTCCCTAGTAATTAGTAGATTGATTTGCACTAGTATAGATAGATTATTTCGATGGCGATAATTTAGAAGATCGAAGCCTACTAATTGAACCTAAGTCTTCTAAAAAGGATAGAAAGTTGTTCTATAAGTATAGTACCGTTCCCGAGAGTCTGAAAAAAAAGGGTTATTATTTAATCAAACGTATACTACAAAAACCATTCGACAATAATTAAAATATAGTATATAGTAACTACAGCAGACAAATTACTCTATTAGCCTTTATATAACTATTGCGAGCGGAGCTAGAGCTTAAGACATATGGCCGAGAAATCTTCGAAAATTAATAGGACTAAGTTCACAGAGGCATTAAGGTATTAAGCTGCCTAGTGCTTACTTTCATTGATGGATTTGGTATTTACCGTAATGCGCGCCGCTCTGTAATGGGCGTATACCAATCCCCAATTAGCCTACTATACGGCAATGGCCGTGCCCGAAATACCAATATTTTTCCAATTGTTCTTAGACCACATACTTCCAATTTCAATACTATAGTCAATGCGATTGGCTGTCTAATGCCATTAGATGAGGGTGTTATAATGGATATTAAAGGCAAACCAACTATAGTATCAGTCTTTACTATATATTATACTAGCAATATACCTCAATAAAACAAGAATTCTAGCACTATAGGACCTGCTGGCTTAAAATTCTATCGATTCTGTTTTATTGGACCAGAGCATGTAGTGAATAAGTAGGATATTATAAACAATTGCGAGTCTTTCGAAATAAGACGGTTTCATTATCAACATCTATAGATGCGGCACGAGGTTGATATTAATATCTGGAAAGAAGGCGATAAAAAGGCGTATCGGACTCAATAGGGGGTTAGTGAATATAGACCGGCGTTATTCGACTTAACACTAGCATTGGACACCATCATAACCCGCCCGCCCAATCCAGTACATTTAGAATTTAAAGGTAAGTATATAATCGTCTGTACCTAGAAGTGATTATCTAGTATAGCTAGCTAACATTTTTTTTCCTCCTTTTTTTTCTAAAAAAAAAGGAATAGTAGCCCATGTCTACGAAATGTTCCTCGACGCCTTGTTGACGCCAAGGTCTAGAGTCGAGTATAGCCGTGCCCTACGTATATAGTCTTTTCCACTTGGCTGGACTGTACTGCCTTCCCCTATATTATACCTTAAAGGATATACCCTAACCGAGTACGGTAAATGGTCAATCATTACGCCGCTATTTCTAGAAGTATAGCTAGAAAAGGAGTATATTGACCGATACGTTTGGGAAGTGTAGAAGATTACCCTATCTAAATATAACCGTATCGATAATCTAAGTGATATTTACTTTCTTAGAGCTATATTGTATGGATTAGCTATAATAGCGCGTAGTAATAGTATCCTTATGAACACTAAGAATACGCAGTCGGAATACGAAAATATAGACACCCATATTTGGAACGGGCGCCTATAGTATAAGCTTATATACAACGCTGCAGCAGAAGGCATAGCCAAAAACCCTACGGCAAAGGATACCTTCAAAAGAGCACGTGCATTAGAACTGCCATCTCAACTTTCCAGGCGCTCGTCGATGTCTATAGCCACGTTAGGATTAAATTCAGGGCTCGATAATGCATCCCTTATCGAGAGTATCGAGGAAGAAAATATACTGATTGTAGAGGCGGCCGCAAAAGCCGTTGCAAATGCAGCAGCAGAGGCACAACCAGACTAACCGCTACCGAAGAGAGCAAAAGAATATATTAGAAAAGCTTTGCGACCGAATATACATATAGGCATTTATTATACCGATATATACGAAGAGTATAGTCCACCTAGACTACTGAACGTATTGGCGGAAGAAAAATATCACAAATGAATAAACGTACTAATAAATACCCCTAAATTCCCGAGGCGGGTATTATATATACGAAATCTCGGCCCAGCACCGGGCTGCCCCACATTGCAAATCCATTTGAGTGTATAAAACCAGAACCCGCAATATTAAAAAATAATTAATATATTTAAACAAAGACTAACAATAATTAAATACAATAAACAATTCAAGAAGATAACCGAAACGACCAACAGTAAAGATATCAGAAAATAGATTCTACAATACGAGCGCATCGTTCATACTATTCAATTCGTACTATTAAATATATTTATACTATCTAATCCAAAGCTGATATAGGGAATTAAAGATATCGCCGGCCAGGCGCCCAGCCTCTTCGAGTCACTAATCAACCAGGAAGATAAGATTAGATTAGGCTTAATAGAGTTCGAGTTTGAAGATAAATCGGATATCGACTTATCTGCTAATACTATCCATCTACGACCTTCAACTATTAGTAAATTCAAACCTACCGTAATAAGGAAGATCTACTACCCTATTTCAGCTAGTATTAACCTAGATACTGGTCAGCTATATACCTTGCCCCAGACATCCAAATCTATGTCCGATATCTTCCGTCGTACCCTATCAAATGCATATAACAAAGACTATGGCATACCATACATCAAGAGGTTTGGCCCAAGCATAGTATAATATACTAAGCGGGTATCTTTTTTGAATAAATAAATTTATTACCCCTATCCCTACTTTTCCCCTAGTATTTTCCCCTATCCCTAGCATAGTTCATCTATTCCTAGCATTATACACTCCCGTCCTTACATCCTATTGTAGGTTTCCCATCTCTTCTACAGTTCGGTCTGCACATTACACGCATATTATTATACGTATACTATCTATACGATAATAATAGTATAGCGAGCCGTTAAGGCGTTGTTATATTATGCCCCAGCTACAGTGTAGAAGCCTATGGGGTACGTATAGGGCCGGGAAAATTCTACAAAGTAGTTCCGAAGACGCCTCCGATTACCTATATGTACTTAGTCAATAACGACTACTAACAGACTTTATGCCATAGTAGGACCTATAAGCGCTATACCTTTAATATTGGCAATTATATCCACTACCGACACAAGCCTGACTTTAGTCGTATCGACTACATCTTCGTACATAACCAGAAGAACAAGTCAGAACGCCGCATTTTTCTTATACTTACCAAAATGCGTATAAATAGCTATATCTGCACCCTCGATATTCTAGCAATTTAAGACACTAATAAGGCCATTATTGTTAGGCTTCCAGCCGTTCAAACCGAGCGTATTTATATTATCGATATCTCGAAGCTGTTTGAACGGCGCCTTTATTACCAGGCCATCTAGGCCTGGATTAACTGGGATATTATCTTGATATAATTGTAGTAATGTATTAATTTACCTGTTATTATCCCTATAGTGTCCGCCTAACTAATGTGATGGTAATTGGTGGTATCATTATCTATTAGCTGAATTTTAGTAATATATAAGTATTGGCCAGAGTTGAATATGGATAATAGTTCTTGTAGACTAACAGCTTGTTGAATAGGTACAACGCTTTAATATACGGCTTTTTTCTTCTGCCTCTTCCCTTATCGCCTCTTCTCGTCTCGTTTAATACCCAGGTAATAGCTCTAATTACCGTTACCAATACTTATATTAATGCTGCATAGTTCGTCTTTTGTGGCCGTAATTGACTATCCTACTTCGTTCATCCCTAGTAATAATATAATATATTGCATTGTACTAATTAACTGATTAACTGATTAACTACTAACTATACTAATACTTAACAGCTTTACGCAAAAGATAGCGATATTATCGTATCGCATTCAATTACTAGTATAATGTACTACATTTAATTGTATTATATCGCATCGCATTGTACTAGTACCGGCGCTGGGTGGGCGGGTGCCGGGAATGCGGGTCGAGGGTCGGGGCGCGGCGGGCAGCGTGGTGGACCGTGCGCCGGGTGGGCGGCAGGGTGGGCGGTAGGCAGCAGTATGTAGTGTAGGTAGCAAATGCACGCACTCACTGGTTCAATTCGCACTGCCTGGGGTACGATGTGCTGCAGGATTGATCGCGACTTCCTAACATGACAATACGGTCGTATGCGACCGCCCAGAGAGGGGGTTGTGTCTACTTTAATGGGATGTTTTTGACGGTTAACTAACGGTTGAGTCTAAGTTACGGTTGACTGACGGTTTTATCTTTCTGTACGGGAAGGTGCGATTTGACCGTCCTGAGACTGTTGCTGGACCGTACAAAGCTTTCCTAGGGCGCCAGCCAAGATATTATAGTTGATATACTAAATATAGTATTAGTATTGAACGTTGGATGATAGTTAAGCGATGGTACAAATAAATGAAGTATTACTATTAGTAATAAGTATAGTGGGTAGAGGGATTTCGAATTCTTTAATAGCCTTATTGAATATTTCGATTAGTTATATAAATCCTTCACCACGTTGGTTATTCATTATCGCTTAGAATATTAGTACTAGTAACCTCTCCAATATAATAATTCCCTTTTGTATAAAGGGCGTATAATAACGGTTAGTTTTATATATAGTATTAATAAGAAGGGTGTGTGGGAATTGTGACTATATAGATTGCTATAAATTAGTAACCTAGAAAATATACTGTAGAATAGTACCCTCTCTATTACTTTTATTACTATAACGGTCAAACTCTTTCGGTTTAAATACTATTACCTTATTAAAGTTAAACTTTCTGGCAAATATCATGGATCCATATGATGTTGAGCCTCACAGCCTCACGTATTGAGCCTCATCGTGAGTACCAGTACATGGGTAGACAAGGGTGCCTCAAGGGTAGACAAGGCAAGCGGGCATAAAAGGAGGGATCGGTTACATCCATTCTAACTTACTCTCATTGAATATTATAACTTTTCTCCTACTCCTTTATATACATTTTATCAAGTTATAAGCCCGGATCCCGCTGAGCGGCAGCTATACCGATACTACAAACCTAAAGTCGCTAAACTACTTCTAACTTAGTATATTAACAACTACGTTCTTCCGAACAAATAATAACCTAATTCCAACCTTATATTCCATCTATCTAGAACAAACACACTCGTCCCGTTTCCCTTACTCTAAAAATAATAAAAATAAGGTAAAATAGATGGGAAAGGTATATTAAAATCGAATATGCATCCCTTCATTCCAGAATTAGACTACTAACCTCGTTTTTATCCAATATCAAATATGGAAGTAAACAATAGTAACAAATCGGATATAGGAGAGGGCAATAACCAACTTAAACGACAATCCTAATTGGAGAGACCCCTCTAGCCTCCAACACCTATACGTACTATGAGATAAAACGATTTCCTACGGGTAATTAGGACTATTGAACGCCTATTAAATTACAATAGGAGGAATTTATGGAATCTTACAAATACCGAGAGCGACAGTATATTCGAACCGATAGGGATATTATTATTAGTATTAAAAGAATTCGAATTAGATTTAGAAGTAGTTAGTAAAATCGAACTATTAAATAATAGGGAACTCTTTAACTTCGAAGTTAGGAATCTAAATATTAGCGGACTCCCAAATTTACAAAAGATCTCCTATTCTAATTTAGAGTATTTTATTTCCATATAACTATCATCCCTACAAATATAAATACAATAGCCTCACGTATTAGAATTAATAACGAGGACTATAAGGATACTATCAAAGCCCTTACTAATTAATTTAATAGAGCTTTAATCCTAGACTAATTCAAACGAGAAGACGGCGACGGCTCTACGACGGAAAGTAGACCCGAAGGCACGACACTAATAGTACCGTATATTACTCCTATTATTAAAGGTCCTTCTATAATCTTTAATCCGATCTTTCTTACCGGCATTAATATTAATACTAATCCAAAATTGGAAGGGAAAGAGTCCTATAAGGCTTAGCATTACTTCTAGTAATCTATAATCAATATTATAAGTGCCTATAATATTATTGAAATCTATCCTACTAACGATAAGGTCCCCCTAGACTCTTTAAAGGTTTGGAAGGATAAATAATAATGATATATTAAGATTCTCTTTACGACTCTCGGCGAATTAGTGGAAAAATTAATAGAGGGAGAGATAATTATAGTTGGGTTTTTTACTAAAGCTAAATAAGAGTATTTGAATAAAGCTAAATAAGAGTATTTGAATAAAGCTAAATAAGAGTATTTGAATAAAGCTAAATAAGAGTATTTGAATAAAGGTATTGGCGCCCTATAGATGATTCAATAAGAATAGGATAATTTGAAGCTAGTTAATTTCAATAATATTCGAGCCCTCGGTTAGAAGATCTCCTCCCTATAGGGAGAGTATACTACTATTAGTCTAGAGTATAGACTCCTTAAGAGTTAATTAATCCTAAAACTATTGTAGGCGCTAAATTAAGAATAGTATAGCGCTTAGAAAACCACCTCCTAGGCCACTTACAATAAGAAGCTCCCTACGTTTTAAAATATATTACGTTCTACCGAGGGTAAGTTCATATGTATTAGCGATAATAGTAAAAAAAAGGAGTATAATATAGACCCTACTTTATAACCCTTATAATAAATTTTGCACCTATTATATTAAAAAGTATTACAATAAGCAAGGATATTAGAATCTTTACTTGAGTTTAAAAAGGAGTATAATACCCGTAAATAGAGGAGAAAGGAGAAATCCTCTGTATTAGTTCCGGCTGTAATAACCCTGATTTAGTAAGCTTTTATTATAATAATTAGACTTGTAATTTTATTTCTTTATATCGATAATTAAATTAAAGACGACCGTTATTTCCACTTTTGACAGTATATTTTACAACGGGATAAAAACCACCTACTCTCTTAAAACGTCCTACTTCTTTAATTTAGAATATAATTAATATATAATAACCGTTCGAAACAACTTCATTACCTTTAAGCTATATAGCGAATCCATTTTTAGTATCGGTAATATAAAGGTCCCGGTTCTAAGAATCGGAAAGGTAGAAAAGAAATATATTTTCAATAGTACGGTTACTATAGTTCAATTGAAAAATATCCTTTTTGCCCCTAAACTTAGTATTAACTTAATTTCTATAACCCAATTGCTTGACTATAGCTCCGATATAATCCTATCTAAAAATTACTAGCAAGTTAAGAAAGACGGTATAGGTATCGAAATTACCCGTTTTAGTAACCTATTTATACTATAAATTACTAATACTACTTAATAAACCTTAATCTCTTATTCGGTTAATCTAGAAATAAGACTCTAGCACGAGCGTATGGGGTATCTAAGTAAAGAAAACCTTATTGAAATATAAAATATAGTCGATAGGATAAATAACGCCGAGTAGTACTATATATACGAATTATATATTAGAGGCCGGATAAAATAAATATTATATCATAGCAAACTTAGATAAGCCGACCACGTATCTAATATAGTTTATACCGATATTTATAGACCTTTTAATACTATTGGGTATTGAAGGGAATACTATTAAATTATACTAATCAACAAGTATAATAAATTTAGCAGTTTATTAATTATTAAAGATAGAGTAAGAGTATAGGTTTTTATTTAAGAATTCGTATAAATATTAGAAGTAAGGGAACCTTAAAGACGGAAGTATAGGGTTATTTACTTTAATAGCGCTTAAGAATTTAATAGTAACGAGTTTAACGAGTAGGCCACTAGAAGGGGGACGTAAATTGAACGATCCATTACCGAATAATACTAATTAAATAGTATAGCAGAAAGTTTGAACCTCTATTTAAGAGAAAAACTCCTACTTATTATAATTGGAGGAAATATGCCGAGGAAGTTTTGGCTAGAGATCTTTGAAACGTTTAATTGTTTTAAGAACCGAAGCCCCTATTTAGCACTTAATAAGACTCCCTTCAAGCTAATCTACGGGTAAAGACTAAATATTAGTAATATTAAAACTATTGGAATAGTTGCTTAGTATTTAATCCCTTAAATACAACGAAAGAAGATGGACGAAAAGGCTATTAAATGCGTATTCATTAGTTTTGAGAAATATACGGTCTATGAATTCCTAAGGCTAAATAAGCGAATAATTAAGTTAAATAACGTTTATTTCGATATAGAGAAGGTAGTAGTTAAATATAGGATAATAGATATAGCTATATAATAACCCCAAATCTAAACCAGCCCTAATCCAACGCCATAATACGAAATAAGGGTAAATAAATAGGTCTCGGAAATAAGCAAATAGGTCTATAGGGTAATCGACCCTAGACCCTGGATCAGGGTAGGTAATTAATTAGTTAGGGTAGGCTAGGGGGTAATAGGGGTAGGTAAGGGTCTACCAATTTACTGGCTCCTATTTTACCGATAATATAATCTCTACCTTCCAAGCGTTAATGATAAAGATCAATTATTAGACGAATTGTACTAATATGCCGCCGGTAAACATTAAATAACCTTTCCCTAGGTAATTTGAATACGGATAATGAACTAATAACCCAAATAGGTATATAGTAAACTACATAAATAATTGAAATACCCCTAGACTATATCGAATGATATCTAGAATTGAAATACCCGTTGAGAAATAGGATTACAAACTACCCTTATCCTATCTAGTACTATATACTCTATACTAGGGAAGGAATAGAAGAGAAAACGGAGCCGATAATACTGAAGGAAGCTAAAGAGAGCTTCTTTTGAAACGGTTAGTTAGAAGTAATATAGGATAAATATAACTCCCTAATTAAAGATAGTATATAGTAATTAATAGAGGTAACCCCGAGAATATATATCTTATATAGTAAGTAGGTTTATAAGTTCAAATATAGTCTAAATAATAAGATTATTAGAAGAAAGGTTCGATAGGTAGTCCATAGCTTCGAATAGATCGAAGGAGTAGACTACTTTAAGACCTTTACTTCTATCGTTAAACTAATAAACTATAAAATTTTATTTACTATCGCCGCCTCCTTAGATTTTGAGACTAAATAGATAAACATTAAGACCGCGTTCCTATATAGGAATATAGAAGAAGAAATCTATATAGAATAACCTTTCGAATTTAATAATAGAATTAGTAAAGTAAATAAGTTTAATAAGGTATTCTATACTCTTAAGTAAGTACTTAGAATCTAATTTAATATATTAATAATAGCGTCAGAGGAATTAGGCTATACCCTTATTACTACTAATTATAGAGTTTTCTCTAAGAATAGTACGTTTGTAGCTATTTATATAAACGACCTATTAATGATAGGTAAGGATAAGGCCGAAATCCGAAGTTTGAAAGATACATTGAGTGTAAGGTTCTAAATAATAGACTTTGGACCTTGTTACTATTATTTTAGTATCCGTATTACTCGCAATAGATGAGAAAAGACTATTTATTTCGATTAATAGGGATATATTAATGAAATCCCAGCCCAATTTAGTACAGCTTTATATAATTTAGTAAATACACTAATAACAATTGACCCTTTTAAAAAAGGTAGGGGATTATTGGACTATAAAGAAGGTTAGAATTATGATATTTCAATCTATAGTCGGGTCCTTAATATATATTGTATTCGGTACTAAATTAAATATTGTATTCGCTATATTAATTATTAGCCAATATACTATAAACCTAGTCAAGGCTTACTTTCGTACATTCAAAAGGATCTTTAAGTACCTTAAGGGTACGCAAAGCTTAGTAAAAATATTTATAGGGGAGTTGAACTCCCTATAAGGGTATTTAGATTCTAATTAGGCCAGTAACTATAATACTAAAAAGTCTACCTCTAATTCCGTCTTTAATATTAATAATAGTATTATTATTTAGAGTTCAAAGCAATAGTAGACGGTAGCCCTATTATTTATAGAAGTAGAATATATAGGGTAGTTGATAGCGATTAAGGAAGCGATTTAATTGAATAAACTATATATTAAATTAAGTACTAACCTTCGAGGGGGAAACAAAGCGGGCGAAAAAGTAGTTATTATCTATTGCGATAACTAAGGCGCTATAGTACTTGCAAAAAACCTAATATAATATTAAAGGACGAAGTATATTAATATTCAATGGTATTTCGTACGTAAAAAGGTCGAAGATGGTTGCGTCAGTATTATTTATATACCGACAGAGGAGTAGATAACCGATAAATTTAATTAAACCGCTTGCTAAAGATTAGTTCTTACGTTTTAAGAATAATCTTAGCTTTATTGATAGAAGCAGAGTGTTGGGAAGCTTTAAAGAGGATACGGGTATTGTAAACTTACCTACCGGCCAAGAACTGGACTCTGGAAGTAGCGAGGACAAATACTAACCGGTACAAGAGTAAGGGGGAGTTTTAACATCACTTGTATCCAACGAGGGGGAGTGGCAAATATTATGGATCTATATAATACTAAGCCTTACAGCCTTATATAATAAGCCTTATCGTAAGTACCACTATATGGGTAGATAAGGGTGCTTCAAGGGTAGATAAGGCAAGCGGGTATAAAAGGAGGGATCGGTTACATATATTCTAGCTTACTCTCATTGAATACTATGGCTTCTCTCCCACTCTTTTATATACATTTCGTCACTTTCTAATAAATACTTGTGTATCAACGTAGCTATCTCGGTCCATTTGTCGAAAGTATTAGCTTTAATTATCTAGGTCTTCAAAAGTAAGATGGAAGTCGGGATATCGTTTTTTAATAGTAGTGCAAGGGCACGGGATGGGGGAATTGAAGGTAAGGCTAAGATACTATCTGTAATAGAAGATTTTAAGTGAGGAGAAGAAAAGAAAGAGAATTAGATATAAGCGTACGAACCCAAATAAATACCCTAGCTATACAAGCGATGGCGGAACCTACGTACGGGTTACTATTAACCAATCCCTTCACTCGTATTTCCCTTCACCTATCTAATAAATAAGGGCAAATACCTTCAATAGGCTTAGAGCCTATTTTAGTCCGTCTTAATTCGGACCTTCTATATTACTCATTCCTCTAACCTTCGTAGGCCTTCAATAGTACTAGAACTCCCCCTAGGGATATAGCAATCGTAGCAATATAGCCTAGCGGGTACCGTTATGTTACCCCCCCTTATATAAAAGATTCGTCCGTAAATCTTATTAATTATTTACTTATATAAAATCCTCTTCGCACGCTTTAATCCTAATAATTCTAATAGGTTATTATTTTTATACCCTTTCTAATCTTCGTTCAATTAATCTATTAATTATTTAGGTGGTCCCGGGGCATCCGGGTTAGCCTTATAGAAATCCTAAAGGAGCTTCGGGGCGTACTTAAAGTTAGAAGCGGACTAATAATTGGGATTTGGATCCTAGCTTCTCCAATCTATATTGTAAAAAAGCTTACTATTAATTATCTTTAAACTATCAATCCTCTTAACCTCCTACTCAAGGTCCTTATTCGACTCTATATTTATTAGGCCGAAGTATTCAATTAATAAATTTAGTAAAAGATTATTATTATACTTCCTTTAACAATCCATATAAAAGGAAGTAGAGCCTTTCCAATTATCGAAGAACTTCAACTAATACAAATAACCTACTTTCTTAATAATCCTATAATAATTAAAAATATCAGAGAAATCGAACTTATTACTAGGGCGAATCGTTATCGACTAAAGGCGTTTAATAATAATAATTCTATCGCTAATATCGAAGTCTAAGTCCCTCCACTTCTTATTGGCCTACTGAATTTATTCCTCCTACGCTTTTAATATTGTTTCTTTAATATAATTTATATATTTTTAAATATATTAAATATAGTCTCAAGTTTACTCCCTAGTTAATTATTCGGTACGGGACCTAATATTAACCGTATAAGTATCCCAATCGAAAAGCATTTTCATCGGGTATCTGAATATAATCTTATAAGGGAAGAGACCGATACTATCCTAGGGGAAACTATTTTATATTATATTTAGTACAGAGATCGCTTCTAACTAATTTAATAATAGTTAATAAAAGGGTATAATTGCTAACCAAAATAAGCATTTATAGCTTCGGCCTATTCAATATTCTAGTTATAACCTACGGTAGTAAGCTTCTACTTCGTACTAGTTAATTTAAACATTTCGTCTATAATACGAATATAAATTAAAGGCCACAATCCGAAATCACCTCCCTAAATATACCACAGATCCTAAAAGGCCGTTCGTAATATATCCGAGCAATATTCTAAATAATTTACTTTTCTATATATAATATAACCTATAACAATTTTATTAAACGGTCTACTATAACCGGAGCGTTATTAAAACCGTATTTATTCTTAGGCATCTTTTTATAATTAATTACAATCGAAGTCCATTTCTTATCGGATAGTAGAATAGAGTATAAATTACTAAGTATTTTATTTCTAGGGACCTTATTTACTTTATAAATTATATAATTTTTAACGAACCGGTTAACGTCCCTTACTATATTAGGCTACTAATATTAAAGAAATAGGATTACTTATATTTTATTACAGCCCGGGTAGGCTATAGCCAATATTAAGTAAACTTTATCGATAATATAGGTTCGTAAGTTATTCTTATTGAGTATAATTAAACGGCTATTAAAGTAAGGAGGCTATTAACTATTATTATAAATTAAAAGTCCAATCCGTAAGCGCGAATATAGTACTCTTCTAATTATTCCTCTTTTCAATTTACTTTCATAATTGCATCGATTAATTTGTATCCTTTTAATTTAATAGGGTATAATTCCAATTTATTAATGACAAATATATGATTAGTACCAACTCTTCTAATATACTATTTAAAGTAATAATAAAGGCCAAGGCGATTATTTCAATTCTCTCGGCTTCTACTAAAGGTTTAAACATTTAGAGGGTCCAATATACTTCCTTCTTATCTTTCTAAGTTTTAAAGTCTTTGGATTTCCGGAATAGAATATCGGCGGTCGCATTCCTAGTACTAGGACCGTATATAATCTCAAAATTGGTATCAAGATAAGAACTCCGCCCAACCGGCCTAGGGTGGAGATAGGGGCTGAGAATATAATTCGGATTTGTAGTATTACGGTAATAGAACGCTAAGGCTTCGGTATTGTAGTTTTTAGTACTATAATAATACCCCGGGCTTTAAAATACAATTATTTTTAATTGTAAGTAAACCTACTATACCGGTACGCGGCTATTGCTATAGCGCTAAGGAACGTAGTTTATATATATAGTACTAGATTATAATTGCCCCGGGTAATAATTACTTTATATACTAAGTTTAGAATAATTTAAATTGTAGCGCCCGGGCCCCCTTAAATAAATACGCGTATCCTGGCGCATCTTCGCTTCTATAGTTAGGATTCATCCTTCCCTTCCTCCTTCTCTCCCTCCTTCTCCTTTTCTCCTTTCTCCTCCAATATACACCTTACTTTATTTTTATTATAATATTACTATTGTAAAATATAAATATAAAATTCCTTCTTTACTTAAAAAACGCCCTTATAATATTAGTTTCTATTTTCTACTCTTTCTTCTAAATTTTTAACACTATTATTATACTACTTCGCCTTAATATTAATATTAAAACTCATATAGTAAACTAATATATTAGTAAGGTTAATCCTACGTATAATACCCTTATTAATAGCCTTAAATATACAATTTACTTCTATATAATTATATAGTATACTATTCTAAATAGTAGTAAACCTATTTTATTGTACTACGGTCTCCCCCGCGGTTGGCGCCGGAAGTACCTTATTTATTATAAGAGAAAGAATAATTACAATTAAGTAAGGTTTTTTTTTTTATATAGCGTTATCCTAATATTTTTAGGTTATTATTCTTATAAATAGTAATAATACTAATATAATGGCCATAATTCGTTAGGCTACATCCTTTTAGGAGAAGGATAGTAATAAGTTCGTATAGTTCGAGGAGGTATAGTATTATATTACTATCGAATTAAAGGACTTAATAATTTATTTTAATACTATATATAAAGCTTAAAAGGGTAAGAAATCCTTAACTAAGGTTAAAAAGGCTACTTAAGATACTATAAGTCTATAGTTATAATATAAACCCTATACCGTTCCTCTAATACTCTATTAACGTTTTTATTATATACTGCTGTTAATAAATTTACTAATATCCGCCGAACTACGATTTAATAGCTAATGCCTCGCTATCCTAACTATAATACGCCGGTAAAAGCGTACTATTTCTAGCGCAACGCGTAGCGTCTTCACCTAATCGATAATAATATCGGCTATATGAATTAATCTCTAACTAAATTCTAATTCTATACTACTATTAAATCGGAGGTAATTCGTATATTTAGGAAATTAAATACTACTAACAAATATTGATTTCCAAATTAATAAAATCATATCCGATTTCCCTATTTTAATAATATTTTAGACTAAAGTTCCTATTTATTAAATCTAGTAGTAGTCAAGTAGTAATTATAATAGAATAGTAATTATCCGGTAATTATTAGGTAGTAAAGTCTTTATATTAGTAAAAAAAATCTATAGTCGGAATTTCGTAGTAGTATAGTATAGAATTAATTTTGAAAAAATTAGTTTAGAATTATAGTAAGATAGTAATATTGCTATAAATTACGGGTTAGTTAAGTTCTTTCCGGGTTAGCGTTTAACTTAGGGTATTTAGAGTTAAATTAAATTAATACTGAAAAGAAATTATAATATTACTGCCCGATTATACTATTCAAAGAAGTATATCCCCTATACCTCGTATATAAATATAAATTACTAACCCGTCCTACCGCCCAGCGTCCTTCTTCCAAGTTCTAAATTTTCTTTCTATCCCTAGGGTTGGCCTAATATTCTTTTTCTAAATCCTAAATTATTTCTCTAGGTCATAAATCATTTTCCCATTTCTTAGAGGCTTATTAGGGTTAATTAAGTAGTTTATCAAAGGTATTTAGGGGGCTAATATTCCGGGCTACTCCTATTTATAATTTATCATAAGTATAAATTCCTACGGGTAATTCGCTATTATTCTAATATAGTTCCCCCGTTATTATAACGTTCCTATACTACTATTTTAATATCCCTTTATAAGGCCGGGCTTAATTTTATTAGGTTTTAATATAGAAGTCCTGAATATTACTAATATTCTCCTAAAAGTCTTCTACCCGCCCTCAATTGGGTCTATATAATTTTAACTATTTTATCCTATATTCTAAGGCGCCGTTCTTATCCTACTTCGAATTTAGAATTTATTCGAAATACTATTCCTCCTCTCTAAGGTTAATTAGAAACGCTGTAGCGCCCTAGGCCTACCTATCGAAGTCTTCGTTAAATATAGCCTAACCCAGAAGGCTGTTCTAATATAGTTGGACGAAGGAAGTATAGAAAATAAAGAAGACTTTATAAAATATATTTATTATGAGGGCTACGGCCTTCTTATAAACCTTCTCCACTATAAAGGGGCCGGCCTATATATCTAATAATTTGATATATAAATAGCCCTAATGCTAATAATAAGTACTAACCTAAACCTTATCCCCTATAATATAATATAAAGCGTCGGATTTCGTTACATTAGCGTAACGGCGGTATTTCTCCTAAACTTCTTCTATAAATAATCGGGCTCGGGTAACAATTCTATCTACTCTTTCTTGAATATACTAAACGTCTAAAACTCCCTAATATTATATATCTAATATAAGGGCGCTATAAAGTAGTAATAATTCTATTCCTATCCTTAAATACTATTTATAATTTATCAAGAAGGGGTTAAGGCCAATAGTCTTGGAAATATAATTATTAGCAACGAACTTTACTAATAAGAGTTACTATAGTTAATCGTTTTATTATTAGAAGTAGAACGTTCTAAAATATTATTCGATAGTAGTATTAATAATTTTCATTTAGCCGTCGGTTTTAGGGTATACCAACGATAATAACCGCTATTAAATACCTAATTACTACTAAAACTCCTTCTAGAACAAGGCAATAAACTAGGCGCCCCTATTGGAGGTAATAGAATTAAAAAACTATAGAGGCGGTAAACTTCTCTTAGGAAGGCTTTAATAGTAGTTTAAGTGATTAAATTATAAATAGAGATATAGTAGTATATTTTCGTTACCCAGTCGATAATTACTATAATATATGAATAAATATAGCTATTAACCTTTACTTCCGGGAAGGGACCTATAAAATCTATTAAAGTATCGGACTAGGATTGAAAGGGGACCGATAATAATTCGAAGAGGCCGGGGGAAAAATATTTTAAAATCTTAATTCGTATATATAAATAACAACCCCGGATAAAGGTAATTATATTGCAAGAGAGGTTAAACTATATATATAATCGCCTAACTAAATTATAGGTTTTGAAATAGCTAGGGTAGCCTCCGGATACTAAACTATATATATAGTAAATAATTTAAAGCCTATTCTTCGGAAGTAAGGGAATAAACGTCCGCCTATTATTATGAATACGTTTATAAAATATATTATAATTAATTATAATTATACAAATAATAGTCCTAAAATACTAGGGGAACGTTTTATATTTAAAGTCTTGAAGGGCTACGATAATTACTACTACCTCCAAGGACGCCCAGTAAGCGGCGTGAATATAATTATTGATAGGGAATTTTACGTTTAAAATAAGGAGCTGTACTAGTAATTCAGCTAATAGCGGACTCTGATTCTTAAACGGTGAGAATATCCATATTCTATTTATAATACGGTCGTTATTTACGTCCCGTTTATTTACCAATATACTACTAAGTAGGCGGAATAGTTTATTAAGTATAGTGATATAGGACCCGGGACGGTAAATAATTTGAAAATAAAAGTCGTTAAAGAATTTAAACTATTAAATCCAACGACAATCAAATAGCTTCGTAGAAGTAAAAATACCAAAGGCCCTTATAATTTATAATAATTTCAATTAGGTCCTTAGCGCCTTATAATTCGGAGTACTATTCTTCGAATACTTCAATAATAGAAAAGAATTCCTTATTATAAATTTCTTAATTATATTCAGCAGGCAAATACTTTAATAAAAAGAAAGTAATAGGGTACTACTATCCCCTTTTATAAATTTAAAATAGGACGCCCCCTAATACTTAATTTAATATATCGACTTTAATAATTATCTTCCTTTCTAAAATAATAATAGAATAGTACCAGTACTATTGTGAAAGGGTTCTTTAACTATTTAAAGGCTATAATAATATCCTAGGGTATAGGGGAAACCTGTCTATCCTAAAATATTAGTACTATTAAGGGTTGAATTATTTCAAAGAACCCTTTGATAAATTGTTGGTAGAAATTAATAAACCTAATAAAACGCTAAAAGTCCTTAAATATTTTAGGAACGCCCCAATTAAGGACAGAATTAACCTTTTTAGGGTTTATACGGAGGCCTTCTCTAAAAATAATGAAGTTTAAATACTTTATTTTATACTCATAAAATTCGTACTTCTAAATATCGATAGTAAAGTTTACTTTCTTAAAACGCTAGACTACTTCTTTTGAGTATCGTTTGTAGGCCGCCTTTATTTCGCTAAAAATAAGTATATTATTTCAATAGGTAATAGTAAATTTGTTTACAATATTAAATAGTATATAGTTAATATAATATTAGAAGGAGGCTAGCGCTCCGGTTATATTGAAGTTAGAAATAAAGTATTTGAAGAGAGCGAATTTACAAATTAAAACCGTTTTCTATTTATTACTTAGGGCGATTCGGAGCCGGTTGAACGCTATTATAATATCGAACTTACTAAATTACTTCGCTTTTCTAAAAGCGTTAATCGTTTCCCGAATTAGCGGAATTGGGTGTTAATTTTTAATTATAGTATTATTTAAATCCTAGTAGTTAATATAAATATAAATACTATTACCCGGTTTCTTAATTAATAGAACCGAGGCCGCTATAAAGGAGGAATTCGGGCGTATAAACTTATTTGCTAAATAATTATTTAAATATTTCCGAAAAATATATAGTTCCTTTTATAATATATAGGGTATAAGCAATAGTATAGGGGGTTGTAACCGGGGATTAAATTAACTTTATAATTGAAGGGCTAGTAGGGGGGTATTATTATTATAATAGTTAGGTTAAAGGCGCTCTAAAACGGCCGAAGGTAGTTGAATAAAGCGTTTGAAATTTCCTAGCGAATCGGCGGCGGTTTCCTATCAAAATATTTTTGAATATCTTTAGTAGAGACCCGCTAGAGCTATAATTTCTCAATAACCTAGTCTCTATAGCCTATAATAGTATTAGGTAGGGGTATTTTAATTAATTTCCCTTCAAAGACGGTACAGAGTATAATAGTATTAAAACTTTATAACGTTTAGTCTAGGTTAGTAATAGGGTTAATAGGCTATAAAATAGTATATAATTTAGGTTCTTCTATAAGACAATATAATTGTACTATAATAAAGGAATAAATTTCTATACCGGGCTCCTTATATATGAATGAGAAATTAGAAGTAGAGAATAAATAAATAATATTGTTCTTAAATTATAAATAGCCGCCGGTATATAACCTTTTAAAGAAGGAGGGGGGTATAATAGCGCTATTTTAAAAGTTTTAGTATCGGTCTAAAACTGTTGCGGAGTACGGGTTTCTAAGCTTAATTTAGGTAATCGGAGGGGAATAATAGTACAACGGTATTAGCCCGAGGGAGGGGCAGCGGAATTTCAATTACTATAACGCTTAGTAATTTTAAAATTCCTTTAGTCCAATCGATTGTAAAGTTATACATCTATAGCTACGGTAGGCTAAGGATAATATTAAGGCTGCCGAGCGGCTAAATATAGAGAATTAATTAATTTATAAAAGATTTAATACTTAGGGAAATAATATAATATTCAAAAATCTTTCCGCCCTCCCGGCCGTTTATAAGCCTTAGAATATAGGGACGAAATAGTAATATAATAGGAAGGTTATAGTTTTATACGAAAATAGAATTGATAAAGCTTATAGGTAAATACCTAGAGTCGATTATAACCGAATAGGGGATAGGCGCTAGAAAGCCGGTCTTTAAAAGGCTAAAGAACGAAAAGCTAGTATTAGGGCCTATAGAATATAAATATAAATTATTAGGTGCCCTTATTTTCCTCCTCCTATAGCGTTTTTTATTAAGGTTAGGCTTTTCGCGCCTTTACCTCGGCCGATATAGAAACGGCGGCGAAGCCGGCCAGCTCCTTCCCCTTATAATATAACCTATTGTACAGTATCCCGCGCTATTATAGTATATATAGAAGTTATTCTTTATCCGACGGTCTTTCTCGGCCTAAATAAAGGGGCCTTTTTTGATAGAGTTAACCTGCCCGCACGCACCAAAAACCTCCATGTACGCACCCCCACCAGAAAACTGGGGCGGTTCAGCTGATGACACCTGATATTGAAATTCCCGTTTTTACCCACAAAATTTCGTCTTTTCAATACACGCAATATCGCTCTAACTTAGCCATTTCTTTTTACCCTTTTTCACACGGCCAATTGTACGCATTTATACTATTGTAGCACCAGTATTTTATATACTATTATACTAATATTTTATACGTATTTATAATAGTACTTTATAGCTACTCTTAATATACGTAAAATTATTGTATTTAATTAATTTTTAAATTAATTGATTGCTCTAGATATCTTCTATTAAGCGCCCTCATTGTATATCGTACTCTTGGACCGATATATTTGCTTTTAATATTTTCTTCAACCCTAATACGATGTGGATTATACTAGCCAAGGACCCCCTCTTCTCTCTCGAGTCTATTAATAATTATAATAAGATATATACCTATTTCGTTGCCTTCTACTATCGTTATTGCTTTAGTATTTTGATTTAGCGTAGTTAAAAGTATAATAAACTAGGCTATGTGGTATATAGTTCTATTATTAAGGTTGTGTTTCGATGCGACTACGTAGAGTATTATCTTTAAGTTATTTATAATAATAATTAGAAAAAGCGTTCTATATTACAAAAGAAGGTTCGCTATTATCTTTTTAGAATCGTACTCCAATTCAAAAAGAGTACTGGTTAGGGATGGACTATCCGGGCTATAAATTTTATATACGAAGGCTACCCTCTATTACGTACTTTAAAAGGCTATTTTATATTTTGTAGTAACGGTTTTAAACGCGAGGTTAATCTAGAAGCTAAGTACTTTATTAGAAACCTCCTATTTTAATAAGATTTTACTATACGGACCATTTTTACTATAATTAGGGAAAAGTATTCCGAGATTCCTTGGATTTATAAAGACTTTAATAATATATATTAGAACGCCCGCCGTAGTTAATAATAAGGCTATAATGATACTTAGACTTTTATTAAGCGGTTCAACGACGATTATAATAGTAATAGGGTTCTTGTATTTAAATATAAAGTCTTTAAGGGAGATAATAATACGCTCCATTATACTTTTTGGGTAATTAAATATTATTGTTAGATATAGTTAAGGTTTCTATATATCCTTTTAATTAATATAATATATAAGACTAATTGGTATTATCTCCTTTTAGTTTAGGGACTAATCCTTATATTAGAGAGGACTTATATATTAATTTTTCAATTAGTATTTAATAATAAGAGGGAAGAGGGTTATATATTTTTAATATAGTGTATTAGAGACGCTATTAACGAATCCAAAATCCCTTATTTAGTAGTAGCTATTACCGATGGCGATCCCCAACTTACTAGTATAATTGATTAGACTTTCCCTAATATATAAAGATAGTAATATATTTAGTATATTAATTATAATATTATTAATTACTTTAAGAAGGATTAGGTTTACAGTCTTTTATATAATTAAAAAGTATAAGAGTAATATAATAAAGAAGATTTTGAGGCATTAAAATGATGTTACGCTTGAGTTTTAATAATGATAAGAATTAAGGTTAGATTTAACCCGTTATTGAATAAGGTTACTAATATATTAATGAGTATTATTCTTTATATAATAATATATAATTTACTATTTTAATATAGTAGACTTCGAGTGTGTTTAGTCTATTTTACGGAGTTAGTTTGGAAGGTAAGAAGATATTGTTTTATAGATTCGAAAAACGATATTACTTTATAAGAAGGAGTAGGTAGGATATTATATTAGGAATTATTTTAATTAGGGATAGAGGACTATATTACTAAATAAAGTTAATAATAGTTTATTTAAGAATTATAGTCTCTTAATTTGTATTAGGCTAACTAAACTATATAAAATTTACTTTTAGTATATTAACTACCGTTATAAGGTATATACAAATTTACTAATTAAATTTGATAGTTATATTTATATAAAGTAGGTTAATTACGAATAAATAAGTAAATACCCTTACAAACTATTTATTTAAATATTCGATTTTATTAATTACTAATGATATAAATCTAAATTAATATTACCCTCTAAGTGGTTAGGGCTCCTTAGTATCCTTCTCAAACTATATTTAAACAATTTTAGAGCTTAGTATAGATTCCTTTTTACTTATAAAATAGAGGTTTTATTAAAGGAGGATAAAACGACCCTAATTATAAAGGAAGTTTATTATCTATTATAGTATTTATATTAGCGATATGTAAATTATTATTTATGTACTCGGTATCTTTTATATTCATTACTTTATTAGGATGCGGTAGATAAATATCTTAAATATAAATTAGCTCCTAAGGTAGTACCCAAAGGCCGCCTATATAAGTAAGGAGGTTTATTTAGTAGTAAATTTATATTTGTAGTACTATTAGAAACTTTACGTATATATACGCCAGTTGCGTTAAAGGGTAAATTACGTAACCTAAGCACTATATAAGCTTCAATACGCTATAATTATTCCCGGTATAAATAGGGACCTAGTATTGAGGAGTTTAATATTGATAATATATATAACTATATTAAAGTAATTAATAATGAAGAGAAGGATGATAATTAGTTAGGTAAATATTGGAAGATAAGGGCGAGGGAATAAATAGCGAGAGAATAGGTAATAAGAGACGAGGTTATTAAATTATTATCGATTTCTTTTTACTTTTCTAAGCTCTTTAAGTTCTCTAAGCTCTCTGAGCTCTCTAAACTACTAGAACCAAGTTTTAAACTATTAAATATGAGTATTTAGAAGGCAGTTAGTTATAGATGGTAGTAGAAGACTTTTTAATACTATGAAAGTATTATTAGATTGGTGCTATTAGATTCCCTTTGTTTGCCCGTTAAAGACTAAGATTTATAGGGTATTTATTGGGTTGACCCACTTTATGATATTGAAAATCCCGATTTTTACACCCAAAATAATATATTTTATATGTTAGCTGTTAAATTCCAAAAAATACGTACCTTAAGGTTTTTGGTACGTGCGGGAAGGTTAACTCTTTTGATAAGGGGTATTTAAACTTTACTAAGGACTATAGGGTTACTTGTATTATTAGAATATCCGAATTAAGATAAGCATAGAGCGGTACCGCTATAGCCTTAGTATAACCTATTGAAAATATTATTTATAAATTTATATAAGAGTATTACCTATATAATGAAATATATAGGGGGCTGAGCATATAATAATATTAATTAAAGTATTTTAGAATATCCGGTTAGCTTTTACGTTAAAGGCGTCGACCCTCCGCCGTCTATCGAATTTATAAAGATCTACTGATTTAATAAATTTTGTAATAAAATTAGCAAAGGCGGAACTGCCCCACTTAAAATAGTCTATTTCCCATACTGTTTTAGTATAAATATTAAAAGTAATATAGTAAGGGTTAACTTATTTAAAAAGGTTGTAGAAGTTAGAAAGTCCTAAAAGTCAAATAGAGGGGTCGAAGGGAATTAACGCAACGGCATCGACCTTAGACCGTACCCGAATATAACCGTCGCCGGATAGGTACTAGGAGACGTAAAGAATATAGTCGGCCGGAGTAGGGTAGGCCGTATTGTTAAAGGTAAATTTAATACGAATAAACAATTTCTAATTAGTATATTCCTCTTCTTATTCAATAAGGGAGGTCTTAGTACCCAAAAAAACGGAGGGTTCGGCGCTTTACGGCCGGTAGGGCACCGTTTAAATAAAGGTCGTAATAGGATTATTATGGAACTATTAGGTTTAAATGGTAGTTTATGCGGCCTAGTTCCGTATTTATACTATAACTTTAATAACATATTATTATACTTAGGCTTCAATTTCCGAATTTATCATTAGGCTTATAAGGCTTAATTATTAGCCGCTTCGGCTTACTACTAAGTTTATAGGGTTTAATTACTAACTGCTTTAGTTTATTACTAGAGTTCGAGGATATATGTATAGGTGTTCGAAAATTAAATTTCGATAACCCTAAGGTAGAATTAGAATTAAAAGAATAAATTTAAGTCTTATTCTATTATTAAAGTAAGGCCGTACAAGTTACTCTTAATAAAAAGAACGGCCGTATAAATATATAACCATTCTACTTAAGGAAAGTAATTACGGGCTAATGTATTACGTAGGGTTCCTATATTAAAGTCCGGCGTAAATATATTATATAAAGTACTAGAAGTAGGATTTATAGTCGGGGTAATATATAGGGTAATTAAGTAGTATATAGGGTCTCGGACTAGGGGAGACTCAGAATTGGTACCGATTCTAAAATTAATTGAAAGCGAAATAATAGAGTATCGTCGGGCTTAATAACCGTAAAAGAAAAGGTGTAATAAACTATTACAATACCTACTAATAAGGACTTTAGAAAAGATATATTATTATACGAAGGGGGAAAGATTAGAAGAAAGTAGCGAAAATTCTATTCTTAAATTATATATATTATAGGGTAGAGATAGGGGCTGAGGATATGAACTCGGATCTGTGGTACTACGGCAGGGGAACGCTAAGGCTTCGGTGTCGTGGCTTCTGGTGCTGTGACAATTATTATTTTAGTATTGTAATTCAATATACTTAAAAGTTTAAAAAGCCTAGCTACAACGAAGACGGTTCCGTTATTAAAATTGTATACCGTTGCGACTATACCGACCCCGCCTATTATTAATATAAAATCTTAATACGACGCGGCGGTCTATATTACGAAAAGTTGCCCATTATTACCTATTTAAAATCGTACTCTAAATTAACAAGGCTATTAGGTGGAAGTGGACTACCCAGGTAATAGACTTAATATAATAAGGCTATACCCTATTATATAGATTAGAAAACTATATTATATTTCGCTAAAAGGTATATAGTAATAAGGTTAACCCGGAAGCTAATGCCTTCTTAGAGAACCTCCTCCTATAACGAGACTTTACAATACGGGCTATCTTCGGTTAAGTTAGAAGGAAATACCCTAAGATTCCTTAGACTTATAAAGACTTCGATAATATACCTTAGTATTAATATTACAATTTACGAAAGGGGTATAATAATACCGAAACGTTTATTAAAAGAATCTATAATAATTACTAGAATAGTAGTTTAGCGTTCAAGTACGAGAAATTCGAGGAGGATGATATATTCGCTATATATTTTAATTAATCAATTATTAATATAGAATATAAATAAAATTCCTATATGTTATTTTATTCGACATAATAAATAAAACTAATTACTATTACCCCCCCTTCGTATAAAACATAGTCCTTATACTAGAGAGAACTTCTATACCTATATTTTAAGTAGTGTTTAATAATGAGAGGGAGGAGGAATTTGCCTTCTTGATTTAATTAACTAAAGACGCCGCCCACGAATTTGAAATTCCCTACCCTATAATTATTTTAATTAACAGCAACCTCTAATTTACCCGTACTATCGATTAAACTTTCCCTAATATTTAGAGATAGCGATATATATGGTATATTAATTATAATATTATTAATTATTTTTAGAAGGATTGGGTACGCCCCCCCTCCTCTAATTAGAAATAGAATAAGAAAGAAGAAGAATAGTATAATAAAGAGGATTTCGAAGATTTGAAGCATTATTATACCCGGGTTTTAATAATTATTAGAACTAAGGCTAAACTAGACCCTTTACTAAATAAGGTTACTAATATATAATTAATACTATTCTTTATATAGTAATATATAATTTACTCCTCGGATATAATAGGTTTGGAGCGTAGTTAATCTATTTTATAACGTTAATTTAGCTGCTAATAGGATAATATTATTTCGTAAATTAGGGAAACGTTAATACTCTATAAAAAAGAGTAGGTAGGTCACTATATTAAATACTACTTTAATTAGGGATAAAGAACTATATTACTAAACGAAACTGATAACGGTTCCTTAAAGAGCTATAGACTTTCAGCTTATAGTAATTTAATTAAGCTATATAAAGCTTACCTTTAATATATAAATTATTATTATAAAATTTATCTAAATAAGTTAATAAAGTTTAATAGCTATATATATATTAAGTAGGTTAATTGTAAGTAGATGGGGGAGTGCCCGTACGAATTATTAATATAGGTATTTAATCTTATAGACCGCTAATACTATAAATTCAAATTTATACTACTATTTATACAATTAGGTCTCCCTAGTACCCCTCTTCAACCTTATTTAAATAGTTTCAAATCCTAATATAGGCTTTCTTATACTTACAAAAAAGAGTTACTATTCAACGAGGGTAAAATAGTACTAATAATTAAAGCGGTTTATTACCCCTTCTAATATTTGTACTAACTTTATATAAATTACGGTTACTATCTATAGTCTAGTTATTCCCTATATCAATTTATATATTAGGATACAATAAATAACTATTTTAAATATAAGCCAATTATTAAAGTAATACCTAAAGGCCGCCTACGTAAATAAGGGGGGCTATTTTAATAACGAACCCGTATTTATAGTACTACTAATTAGGTTAAGTAAATCTACCCGATTAGTTAGACTAAAGGGTAAATTATATAACCTAGCTACTATTCGAACTTTAGTACGCTATAACTATTCCTAATACAAAAAGGGGCCTAATATTAAGGAATTTAATACTTAAAATAAAGTATATAACTATATTAAAGTAATTAATAGTAATAACGAGGAGGAGGAGGATAACGAATTGGGTAAATATTAGGAAATAGGGGTAAGGGAGTAATTGGCGAGGGAGTAGGCAGCGAGGGAGTAGGCGGCGAGGGAGTTATTATTGAATAGCTCTAAACTCTCTAACCTACTAAACGTAAGCTCTAAGCTATTAGATATAAGTATTTAGAAAAGAATAGAGTATAATACAACCGCCCTCAATACTACAAGAGTATTACTAGATTGGTACTATTAGATTTGCTAGTAAGCCTAAGATTTGTAGGGTATAAACTGGGTTAACCCAACTCAAGATATGATAAATGACGTTTTTTACGATTAAAAAAATATAATTTATATAATAGCTACTACCTGGTCTGAGGTGCGTACATAGAGGTTTTTGGTGCGTATGGAGAGGTTATCTCTTAGGGGGAATAGAACGCTCGTATACGACCTAGTCCATTTTAAAGTAATCAATAACGCTATAACTAAACGACTATTGAGCGCTCTATCAAATTTTGCGCCTAGTAACTCCGTATCTGGTTCCTTTAAACGGACGACCTCCAATTTTGTATAACCGAATGTAAGAAGTTCTTATTTATTATTTGTTCTATTGAGGGCGCCCCTTTTAAAGTTATTAAATTTAGGTTTATTAAGATCTTGGCGGAGCTCCCGGCTAAATAGTTTATAGCCGAGGCCCTCTTGGTAGAATTCACTACAAAGTACAATAACATCGATATTACTATGTATTCCCGCTATAAATTTGAAGAGTTGAAGATAATTAAAGGTATAAAGTAGTAGGAATTCGAAGATAACTTTATTCGCTTAATTAATCGCTACAATTTCGACGATAATATAAAGACCTACTATTTATACTAGAAGATCTCGGACTACGTCCGTATTATTATCATTTATTAAAACCTTTAGCCTGCTAACGATAAGTACAATAAATAATTGACCTTCGCCCGTAATTTTATAAGAAATTTAGAAGATAAAGATTGGCGTAATAAGAGTTCTAACCTTTACTATAAGACTAGCTTTAGTCCTACTACTGCCAATACCCCTAATACTTCTATAATTACTGGAGTGGTTACTATTAGCTAGGGAAGTTCTGCTATAGACCTTAATGCAATATTTACCTCCGATATCTAAATTTCGTATATAATCAATAACAAGGTTTTTAAATACTGTACCAAGCATAGTATATGTACCCGCTACGGTAGAAAGGGCTATTACTCAGCGGAATACCGCTTTCATATTAATTTTAAGAAGGAAGTTAAGCCCCGTAAAGATAGAAATAGAAATAATAATAAGAATAAGAATAGTAGCAGTAATAATAATGATAATAATATTAATAATGATAATAGTTAATAATAATAGTAGCCGGCTTAGGGTTAGTATAGTTACGGCTAGTGGCGCCCTAATTATAGCGGTAGCTACTAAATTAATATTATAAGTATTAATTTCCCTAAAGGTTTTCCGGCGGCCGCTCTAATTTTTAGTACTCCCGGTAGTTATTACTATCCACTCCTAATTTACTAGCCCGGCTTCGTCGGCCCCTTTATAGGCAATAAGGCTAATTCGGTTTGGAGATAGGGAAATATATAACTTCTAACCTAAATCGCACTTAGAGGCGCCCGTCCGTAGGATAAAGAGGAAGACTATAAGGGTTTGTCCCTATATAGTTAAATATTATTAAAATAAATAGATTTTTAGTAGATAATTGTTACAAATACTCTAATTTATTGAGTTTCTTTATCTACCTTTCCTTCGGACTATATAAATTATATGATTCTATACTTATTAATAGTAATTATACTACTCTTAATTTTAATAATTGATACTTTGTATTCTAGTATCGCCTCCCTCTCTTCAAACTACTAATCCTTAAACTATTATATTTTGTTAATAGTTAAATTATAAGTAGTATTACCTATTTTACTAGGGTAATAATATAGGTAGGAACTTATTATAAAGTTATTAATCTTATTATTTATAACTTCGCCGAAGATAACCCTATTATCTTCGGTTACTTTTACCTAGTATATTACGCTCCGGGCATCGATTGGCCTAGCGATTCCCTCTACTTTGGCCCCGCTTACGCATAACGTAATTACCTCCCTTATAGAGCTGTTAATTATTATACCCCCTTAGTAGTATACTACCTCTCCATTCCTCGCTCTAATACGCTTAGTATTCGTCCTACGTATAGGAAGCCTTCTTATAAGGAAGTACCCGATAAGGGGGATTTAGAGCTACTATAAATAGAATCCGCCTACTATTTATTAGTTTCTGTAATTATAAAATAAATTGCTTATTAACGGTTCAATTGGTTTTAAACCCGAATAATTAGCTAATTAGGTACTACCCCGCTCATTAAGACCCTAATTAGCCTTAGCTAAGCGCTTATATTAATAGACCTCCTAACGAATATTCTAATCCGCTAATTAATACTATATTGGACTATCGGAGGAACCTATACTAGAGCAGCGGACTACTAGTCTCTAATCTATTTATATAGTATTCCTAATAGTCCTATTCACCGTAACGATATTAGGGAGTTCTCCGCCGCGAATTTCAATTAATTAACTAACACGATAAAACTCTAAATTATTTATAATACTAAGGCCGAAATAGAGGAAGATGTTAAAAAAATAAAAGAAGAGGACTAAGTACAGGAAGAAGGAAGTGTTTTAAATTTTAGGAGCGTAAGTAATAATTTCATTAAGAAGATAATTAAAGAAGTTTTAATAGGCTATAATTAGTAATATAAGAAGTTATTCGGTAGTAACTATTAGTGATAGATTAATATTCTAATCGGGAAGGGAAATGCGACTACTTTACGCGTAGTAAAGGTTGCTAATTCCGCTTAAACTAATAGTACTAACAATGATTTTCTATATTGCGAAGAAGTAATTAATAATAATTTTGGTACTAATAGTATTAATATCGGTAAAACTATATTTAAAAGTATTCCTAAATTCTATAGAAAACAAATAAACTTTTAAAGACCGATGCTAAAATCTAGGCTAAGTTCCCCAAATAGTATTTGTACTATATTAGTACTGTTAGGTAGGAGGGAGTAGAAGTTCTCCCTCTTAATTATTTATACGACTTTAAATTCGAACTTTATTTAGGAGTTTTACCGCCCGCTATTGACAATTATACCTTTAACCCAAACGAATTTAGCGTTATTAAGAAATAGATTAATAATAACCTAAGAAAGAAGTTTATCCGGCTATTATAATCAGAAGCCTTAGCCCCGGTTTAATTTATTAAGAAGCTAAAAGGCGGAGTTCGCATTTGCGTTAATTATAGAGGAATTAATAATATTACCTTTAAGTCCCGCTATTTACTCCTACTTATTAAGAAGATTTTAAATGTAATTTACTATATTAAGATTTTTATAAAGTTCGATATAATAGCCGCCTTTAATTATATTCGAATAAAATAGGGCTATAAATAGCTAATTGTATTTATAATACACTTTAGTTTATTTAAATCCTTCGTAATCCCCTTCGGTCTATAAGGAGCCTCTGGTACTTTTTAGAATTATATCAACGATATTCTATATAATATCCCTAATATTTATATAATTGTATATTTTAATAACGTTCTGATTTATTCGGATAATATAAGGGACTACGAATAGTACATTAATAATATCTTCAACCGGTTGGCTAAAGTAGGATTTAGTATTGATATGAATAAATACGAATTCTATATTATACATACTAAGTACTTAGGGCTAATTATTACCCCGGGAGGTATTGAAATAGACTTAGAGAAAGTTAAAGTAGTAATTGAGTAGCTAGTCCTAGAGTTTAAGAAGTTCTTTTAATTATTCTTCGGCTTTGCGAATTTCTATTAGAAGTTTATTAAAGATTTTTCGACTATAGCAACCCTACTTTACAAATTTACAAAAAGGGATATAGCTTAGGTTTAGAATACTAATTACTAATAAATATTCGAATCTCTAAAGAAATCCTTTATAGAAGGCCCTATATCGAATATTTACAACTAGACTAAAAAAATAATTATTGAAATAGACGCTTTTAATTGGACCGTTAGTATTACCTTATTTTAGTATAGTAATAATAGGATCCTTTACCCTATAGCCTGCTTTTCCGCCAAATATACCTTATAGGAATATAATTACAACGTTTATAATAAGAGAACCTCTATTCGCACGGGGATCCACTTTTGCTTTTCTAAGTATAATTTAGTCAGATCTTGTTGGATGAGGCTGTGAGTAGTACTAAATTACTCGTTGATTTTCTATGGATTTTTGGGCTTAGGTTTTAGTTTTATAGCCCGAGATATGACCTAGATCTTACGTTTCTAGATTTTTGTATTATAAATCCTTTTTATTATTTTTAATAAATCACTTTCTTTTTCCTAGATTTTCTCGAGCTACTAAATACCTACAGCTCTTACAAAAGCTATAGTAAATAGAGGAAGAAGGGAGAAAAAGTATAATATACCTTACTACCCTCTATTATAAATTTTAAAGTATAAAAAGATATAGTAAAGTTTCACTTTTTACCCCCCGTGCGAAGAGTTTTATACCTATGCGAATAGAGTTTCTCTATAATAAATAATTACTAATTATTATTAAAATATTCGAAGAGTAGCGGCTAGAATTTAAAGGTATTTAATAGCCTTTCGATATTCTAACGGACTATAAGAACCTTTAGACCTTTATAACGAATGAATAATTTACTAAGCAGTATATATATTAGTTTTAATTCCTGTCTCAATTCAATTTCCTAATAAAATATACCCCGGGCTTTAAGAATTTACGCCCCGACGCTTTGAGCCGTAAAGTTAACAACCGCTCTAATAGTAAAGAGGACGGCCGCTTCGTCGCTTATAAGAGACCTCTATTCGACTCCTTATAGTTCGAAAACGGTTATTTCGAGGACCCCGCTACTAATTTTTCGCTATACCTACTTAACTTTAAGGATTCAATATTAAATCTACTATCGATTTTATTTATTTAAATTAAGAAATTTCAATCTTCCTCTAAGAATTAGTATTTTATTTAATAAACGTATTATAATAATAATAATTATTATTTATTAAAAAGTATTCTATAAAGGCTTTTTAAAATATTATATTATTAATAGTATTACGAAGTAGAGGGATAAAATTATTATTAACCCCTATAATAACGGCCTCTAACTCTAATTAACTAATTATTAATATAATATTCCTAGTGTAAGCTATTTTAATTATAATACGACGTACGAATATTTGTAATATAATTTCTATTAGGAAGGGATATATAATAATATAAAACTCTTTTATAAAGGATATTACCCTTATATTAAGATTAAATTATTTAAGCGTAGTTCCGTTAGTTATTTTAAATCCGTAAATATTTTTTTAATATTATAAACGGTAATTTCGGTCGATTACGTTACTCCGTTGCTAGAAAGTACTTATTTTAATTAAACCTTTAAATATATTACTATTATCGTCGACTATCTTATAAAGATACGGTATTATATCCTAATAAAGATTTTAGAGGCTAAGGAATTAATTAATTAATTTATCGACCGTATTTATTATATCTATAGTCTATTAAATAGTATCCTATTTAATAGAAGTATTGAATTTATATTATACTTTCAATTTATTCTTTATAAAAGATTATTTATTATTAGGAAATTAACCTCCGCTTTCTACCCCTAAATTAATACGTAAATCAAATATATTAATACGGAAATAAAGTAGTTTTTGAAAATATATATTAGTTAAACTTAAATAGATTGGGCTAAGTAGTTACTATTCGTAAAATTCGCCGGTAATAACGCTATCTCCTTATTAATAAGGATTTTATTATTCTTCGTTAATTATAGTTACTACCCTTATATAGGTACGGAATTCCGAATTCTATTATACTTAAATCTTTCGCCGGTTTGATTTAAAGAATATTATAAAATTAACGAATTAGTAGACCGCTCTTAGAAGATATAGGACTTTCTTATTTAATAGACTTACTATATATAGGAATATTATAAAGATAATACTAATAAGAAACGTATTAATTCCCTTAAGTACTATATTAATAATATAGTTCTCTTGAATATTACGAACTTTATTAACGACTAATTATATACGAAGTTTTCCCGCCGTTAGGAGGGTTCTTTTGAAATTATTTACGCCGATTCGTATATAATTTACTTCTTCCTACCTACTAATATAAAATATTTACCCGTCTTCTATATTTTCTATAGTATAACCCTAATTAAATATGGGACTATCCGGTTAATATATTATAATAAATATAAAAATAAATAAAGGCCGGGTAATAATACGTATAGATAATTAGGAAAAATACGAGGAATAGCCTTTTAGGAAGTTTATCGATTATATTTAATTAGGTAGTAATATATATTAGTATTACTAAATTAAATAGAAGATTAGAGACCCTACTTAGTAATTAGTTACTATTATAATCGATTACGAATATTACTTCTAATAGATTTATTATAAGAATCCGGATAAACAGGTACCGTTAGGAGTCCGTAGAATCCTCTAACGCTTTACTTCCGAACCCCCCGCTCTTATATTAGAGCCCCTACGCTACCGCTCCGCGCGTTTCTAATAAGAAACGGGCTCTATAACCGATACGAAACTATTTTTAAATATAATAATAATAGAATTAATTAATATAATAATTAATAAAAACGTAAAGGATAAATTATATTTAATATTTAATAAGGTTATACGATAATTAATAGATATTTAGTCCGGGAAATTACCCCTAATATATTTAGTAAATTATAATTATTTTTGAAGTAAAAACTATTATTATACGTATAGATAGACTTTTCAATTTTATAAACTTCTTTTAAAAGAGGATAATATTATAGGGTTAATTTATAATATAATTATACTATATATTTTTAATCTAGACTTATTAACGATTTTAATTACGTATAATCCTACGTATATATATACGTACGGACTAATTTAGATTAGGCTCTCACTTATATAATTAATCTTTTATATATACTTCCCTTCTCCTCCCTTATATAATAACGTATATCCTACCCTACCCCTAACGGTACTATTTCGCCCCGTAATAATTAACGAAGGGATAACCTCCCTATACTTATTAAAAATTTATACGTACCCACCCCTATTAGAAAAATAGGGCAGTTTAACTGATAATATTTAATATTATAAATCCCGTTTTTACCCGCAAAATTTCGTCTTTTTAATATAAGTAATATTACTCTAACTTAATTATTATTTTTTACTCTTTTTTATACCGCTAATTATACGCAATTACGTTAGTACTTTACGTATAATCGTACTAGTACTTTATATTAATATTCTATATTAGTACTTTATATTTAATAATAGAGAATATTTATTTATACGGACTATAAAGTCTATTTATATAGACTTTAAAATTAAAACTTTAAAAATTTCTTTATAATAGCGTAGGGGTATATATTTTAAAATAGGCTTATAATTTTTAGGTTTTTTTTATACATTTTTAAATATTCAAATTATATTAAAGGGCACCCTAGAACCTTAGGAACGGAAATAGTACTTATAGAAATTAAAAGAATAATAATAATTTTAATAATAAAGTAAATATTTTAATCTAAAGGGCCTTTAGCTTTAGCGTAATATAGATTAAATCTATTAAAAATCAATAAGTAAAACGGTACTACTTTTATATTTATCTAATTTCATTCTATAAAATTATTATTAATATTATAATTTTTTAGTCCGTATAAATAGATTTTTTAGTCCGTACAAATAAATATTTTCTAATAATAATACCCTTAATATATATAGAATCGTCGTATTCAATCAATTTCTATATTAATTAATTACTATAAATACCCTCTTCTAATAAGCGCTTTCGTACGTCGGCCCCCTAGCGTCCTTACTATTATACGTTAGACTCTTTAATTAGTACCTTCGTTTTTAATACTTCCTTCGACCCCGAAACTATTTGGATTGTACTAATAAATAATCCCTTCTTCTCTTTCGACCCAATTGAAGATTATAATAAATTATTCGTATACTTCGTTAATTTCTATCGTTATTATTACTTTAGTATTATAATTTAATATAGCTATAAATTTAAAAAACCGGGGTACGAAGGAGACGGTTCTATTAATAAAATTATTTTTTCATTATATTTACGCTAATTACTACCCGCTATTAATATAGGATAAAAATTTAAAGAGGAAGGTTATATTACGAAAGAAAGCGCGCCACTATCTATTTAAAATTATATTCCAAATTAAAAAGAATATAGAATAGAAATAGACTACTTGGGTAATAGATTTAATATATTAAGGCTATCCTCTATTACGTACGTTAGAATACTACTTTATATTTCGTACTATAATTTAGGACTACGAAATTAACCCTAAAGCAAATACCTTTTTAAATAACCTTCTACTCTAATATAACCTTATA